TACTTTTATAATGAATACTTCTGTCCAACGTATGAATCGAGTTGCACCTTTATAATCGATGCCATTATGTACTCTAATAGAGGGTATACCATCCATCAATTGTCCATCAATAGGACTTTTGACTCTAATAAAATAAAAGATCGTTATGAAAGTTATATTGTTTAATAACAAAAGAAAATATTTATAATATATAATATAAACCATATATTGCAATATATTGCATATTTGGTAGTTCTTATTTGAAAAACTTGTTTTATTTAAGTGATAAAAAAAGAAAAATAAAAGAGCGAGGATAGGAAAAAGAAAAAGAACATTAAAAAATTTGCAAATATTTAAAATATAATTAATGATTAAAATTTATGAAAACAATTTACCCCAAGTTAAATAGTACGTCATTGTCGACCCACTTTATGTTTACAGTCTCATCCGGTTCCAATGCTCCTTGATGTCCGCAACCGATCGAAAAATCCTGCATATTTTTAAGAGCAGCTTTCAATGCTTCCATTTTTTCTGGCATTATTTCAACCATTAATCCATCCTCGACGATACTAGATTTAGCAGAAAGTCCCATTGAAGATTTCAGAGCACCATTGATGACAATAAAACTGGCGCCAGTTACTATATAATAGGAAAAATAATATTTTATATATTTTATATATTACTACCAGAAATTCTTTCTGTTTTTTGTAAACTAACTCACCTGTTCTCGGTTTGTTGTGAATATTTATCGCTTGCGTTTGATAGCTGCTTTCATCACCAGTATTTGTTTGTATGCAAACTAAATGTGAATCAGCAGTTATACTAAAGTTCGAAGCATAAGCTAAGACGTGATCGTTCGAATTATGAAGCCCTTTTATAACTTGATCGTATCGATTTCTAGGAAACATAACATCCGTCGTACGGTTTTTAAGATGAATCGTTAAGCCCCTCACTCCTGGCAAAGTATAGCTGAAATTTCTAAAATCCGCTAATACTTTCATGACGGTATGTCCAATCTCAAAATATAATGCATCTCGAAAACGAACTGATACCAATGGACAAGGATAATAACGGTATTCTGCTCCGAGACGTAACAGAAGCCTTAATGGGAATACTTTAGCCCAAGGAGTTTCCCATCTAAAATAAACGAAAGTCTGTATATACTAAAATCAAATTTTTTTATGTAAAATCATGAAAACCATCCATAGTAATAATTTTTTTAATTGGTATACATAATATAAAATTATATGTTCGGATGGAATATAAATCACGATATACAAAAACGAAATATTTTATGATATTTACCTGTGAATCAAGAGTCCAATCAAAAAAGGTGCAGGCGGTAAAATAATCTTTTGTAAACATTGCAATGTCTGGCGAATAAAAAGAAATCCCGCGTGTTCGCGTGAACCCAACAAATTAGTACCTTGATATATTGAAAATCCGAGTTCCGTCATTGTATTACCTGCAAGAGCAAAGTCGATAAAAAAGTTTAATAGTTTAATAAAATAATTTTTGTTGCACACTATAAAACATATAACTATCACTAAAATATAAATTCATTTCTTTTTTAGTTAAATAAATTTATATAATTAGCATACTCCAAAAATATATAATACTTCTGGAAGCAAAGCTAAAATTTTTTTTGTATGACTATTCAGTTAAACTATTATTTATATGACTATTCAGTTAAACTATTACAGCTCTTTCAATATTTTTAATGTCTCAAAATATTGATTTCAGA